AGAAGATAAATATCAATAAGATCAGAATCAAAAAAAGATAAATATCAGTTGATAATAAGATCAAAATCAACATAAGATAAATATCAGTGGATAATAAGATCAGAAAAAAAAGATAAATATCAGTAAAATAAGATCAGAATCAAAAAGAAGATAAATATCAGTTGATAATAAGATCAAAATCAACACAAGATAAATATCAGTTGATAATAAAGATCAAAATCAAAGAATAAAATATCAGTGGATAATAAGATCAAAATCAACATAAGATAAATCGTGCAGTGGATAATAAGATCAAAAAATCAAAAGAAGATAAATATCAAAGGATAATAAAAATCAAAATCAAAAGAAGATAAATATCAGTGGATAATAAAGATCAAAATCAACATAAAGATAAATATCCGTGGATAATAAGATCAGAATCAAAAGAAGATAAATATCAGTTAAATAAAAATCAACATCAGATAAACATCAGATAAATAAGACAGAATAACATGGGATAAATAAAATAAAGATAAAAAGAAGATCAATATCAGTGGATAATAAGATCAAAATCAACATAAGATAAATATCAGTGGATAATAAGATCAGAATCAAAAGAAGATAAATATCAAATAATAAGATCCAAAAAAAAAATAAGATAAATATCATCGATAATAAGATCAAGATCAAAAAAGATAAATAATAAGATCAAATCAACATAAAGAAAAATATCAAGATGGATAAATATCAGTAATAATAAGACAAAATCAAAAGAAGATAAATATCGAGAATTGATAAAAAGATCCAAAATCAATATCAGGATAAAGATAAATATCAAGTAGGGATAATAAATTAAGATCAGAATAAAATATCCGGATAATAAGAAAATATCAATCAGAATCAAAAAAAGAAGATAAATATCAGTGGATAATAAGATCAAAATCAAAGAAGATAAATATCAGTGATAATAAGATCAAAATCAAAAGAAGATAAATATCAATGGATAATAAGATCAAAATCAAAAGAAGATAAATATCAGTTGATAATGAGATCAAAAAAAAAGAAGAAAATATCAGTGAATAAAAGATCAGATCAACATAAGACTGAAATATCAGTGGATAATAAGATCAGAATCAAAAAAGATAAATATCAAGATCAAATAATAAGATCAGAAATAAAAGAAGATGAAAATCATCAGTGGATAATAAGATCAAAATCAAAAAAGATAAAAAATAAAAAAGAATCAAAAAGAAGATAAATATCAAGGAATCAAGATCAGAATCAAATAAATATCGGTGGATAATAAGATCAAAATCAAAAAAGAAGATAAATATCAGTGGATAATAAGATCAAAAATCAACATAAAAGATAAATATCAGTGAATAATAAGATCAAATCAAAAAGAAAAAATATCAGATAAAAGATCAAAAGAAGGATAAATAAAAGATCAAAATCAAAAGAAAATAAAAATCAGTGGATAATAAGATCGAAATCAAAAGAAGATAAATATCAGTGGATAATAAAATCAAGAAAAAAAATCAAAAGAATAAAGATAAATCAAAAAGAAGATATCAGTTGATAATAAGATCAAAATCAAAAAGATAAATATCAGTGGATAATAAAGATCATCAAAGAAGATAAATATCGTGGATAATAAAAGAAAAAAATCAACATAAGAAGATAAATATCAGTGGATAATAAGATCAAAATCAAAAGAAGATAAATATCCAGTGGATAATAAGATCAAAATCAAAAGGAAAATAAATATCAGTGGATAAGATAAATTGGAATCAAAATCAAAAGATAAATATCAGTGGATAATAAGATCAAAATCAAAAGATAAAATATTGACAATAATGAGATCAGAATCAACATAATTTTTCTTTGAATATAAGAAAATCAAAATTATCAAAGAAAAAGATTTTCTAAAAAGAAAATTTCTTTAGATCAGAATTAAAAATCTTTTAAATATCAGTTTCTAATAAGATCAAAATCAAAAAGATAAATATAATAATATCAGAAAAAAGAAGATAAAATATCAGAAAGATCAAAAATCAAAATAGATAAATATCAATGGATAAAAGATCAGAATCAAAAGAAGATAAATATCAGTGGATAAAAGATCAAATCAACATAAGATAAATATCAAGAAAAACAGAATCAAAAGAAGATCGGTCAATGGCCAAGATCAAAATCAAAAGAAGATAAATATCGATGGATAATAAAGATCAAAATCAACATAAAGATAAAAAAGTGAAATGAAAAATCAAGAAGATAAAATATCAGTGGATAATAAGAAGAATCAAAAAGAAGATATCAGTTGTAATAAGATCAAAATCAAAAGATAAATATCATTTTGAAGAATCAAAGAAGATAAATATATCAGTGGATCAATCAAAGAAAAAATATCATGGAAGATAAAAGATCAAAATAAACAAGATAAATATCAGTGGAAATAAGAAAAATCAAAAAAAATTGATGGATAATAAAGATAAATGTATCAAATCAGAAGAAAATAAAAAGATGATATTAAGATCAGAATCAAAAAGAACATGATAAATATCAGTGGATAATAAGATCAGAATCAAAAGAAGATAAATATCAAAATTTTGATCAGAATCAAAGAAGATAAAGAATCATTGAACAATAAAGATCGGAAATCAAGAAGATAAATATCAGAAGATAATAAAGAATAAAATCTAAAGAAAAAAAAAAAAGATTTTTCCAGAAGAAAATCAAGAAAGATAAATATCATGGATAAAAGAATAAACAAAAAAAGAAAAAAAGATCAGAATGAAAGAAAGAAGATAAATGTCAAAATCAAAAGAAAAAAGAAAAAAGAAAAAAATAATCTTGAATCAAAAAAGATAAATATCTAAGGAAAAAAAAAGAAAAAGATAAAAAAAGTGGATAATAAATCAAATCAAAAGATAAATAAGAAAATGGAAAAGAATCAACATAAGATAAAATAAAAATGTAAAAGAATCAAAAAAGAAAGAAAAAAGAAAAAAAGAAGAAAATAAAAATATCTAAAGAAAAAAAAAAAAAAATAAAAAAAATATCAGTGAAGAAAGAAGATAAATATCAAAAGAAAAAAAAAAAAGAAAAAAATTGTGAAGAAATAAAGATAAATGTATCTAAAGGAAAAATCAAAAAAAAAAAAACATTTTGAAGAAAATCAACAAGATAAATGTATCTAAAGGAAAAAAGAAAGAAAAATATCAGTGAAAAGAATCAAAAGAAAAATATTTGAAATAATAAGATCAGGATCTATCAGAAAAAGAAAATCGAGATAATAAGATCAAAATGTGAACAAGATAAAAATATCAGTGGATAATAAGATCAAAATCAAAAAAAGAAAAATATTGTGAATAATAGATCAAAATCAACATAAGATAAAATATCAAAAGAATAAAAGAATCAAAAAATCAAATATCAAGAAAAATATAAAGAATTGTATCAAAGATCAAAATGAAAAAGCAACATAAAAATATCAGTGGATAATAAATCAGAATCAAAAAAGAAGATAAATCAAGATAAAATAAGATAAATATCAAAAATCAAAGAAAATAAATATCAAAATAAGATCAGAATCAAAGAAGATCAACATAAAGACTCTAATAATAAAGATCAAAATCAAAAAATAAATAAAAAAGGATAATAAGATCAAAATCAAAATAAGATAAATATCAGTGGATAATAGATCAAAAATCAAAAGGATAAATATCAAAAAAATAAGATCAAAAGAAAGAAGATAAATATCATGGATAATAAGATCAAAATCAAAAGATAAATATCAGTGATAAGATCAAAATCAACATAAGATAAAATATCAGTGGATAATAAGATCAGAATCAAAAGAAAAAATATCAAGTTGATAATAAAAAAAATCAACATAAGTTAAATATCAGAATGGATAATAGATCAGAATCAACATAAGATAAATAAGAAAAAAAGATCAAAAAAAAAAGATAAATATCTAAAGGATAATAAACAAAAAAATCAAAAATAAAATTGTGGAAAGAAAAAAGAATAAAGAGAAAATAAAAATCCTAGTGGAGAAAGAAAAAATCAAAGATAAATATCTGGAAAAAGAAAAAAAAAATCAGAAGAAAAAAGATAAATGTATCTAAGATAAAATCAGAAAAAGAAAAAAGAATTTTGGATGAAAGAATCAAAAAGAAGATAAATATCAGTGGATAAAAAGAAAAAAATCAACATAAGAAAATTGTGATAATAAGATCAGAATCTAAGGAAATAAAAAAGAAAAAAAAAAAAAAAATATCATTAATAAGATCAGAATCAAAAGAAGATAAAAAAAGTGGAAATGTCAAAATCAAAGGAAATAAAAAAGAAATAGAAGAATAAAAAAAGAAAATATCGGTGGATAATAAGATCAAAAATAATATAAAATATCAATGGATATCTAAAGAAAAAATAAAAAAAAAAAGATCAGAAGAAAGAAAATATCGGGAAAAATAAGATCACAACATAAAGATAAAATCGGTAAGAAAAATAAGTAAAAAAATTAAAAGATGAAAATAAAAGTGGATAATAAGATAAATCTAATGTATCTAAAGAAAAAATAGAAAAGAAAAAAAAATTATCGAAGAAAAGAAGATAAAAATCTATCTAAAGGAAAAAGAAAAAAAAAAAAAAAAATTTTGGAAAGAAAGAAGATAAATGTATCTAAAGAAAAAAAAGAAAAATCAAAAAAAATAATTGTGAATAAAGAAAAAATCAAATAAAAGATAAATGTATCTAAGAAAAAAGAGAAAAATCTAAAAAAGAAAAGAAAAAGAAAAGAAGATAAATCTAAAGAAAAAGAAAAAAAGAAAAAAAAAATTATGAAAAAAATATAAATGTATCTAAAAGAAATGAGAAAAGCAAATAAAAATTATGAAGAAAGAAGATAAATGTATCTAAAAAAAAAGAAAAAAAAAGAATTATGAAGAAAAAGAAGATAAATGTATCTAAAGAAAAAAAAAGAAAAAAGGAAAAAAGAATGAAGATAAATGTATCTAAAGAAAAAAAGAAAAAGCAAAAAATTGTGAAGAAAAAAATATAAATGTATCTAAAGAAGAAAAAAAGAAAAAAGAAAAAACAATTGGAAAAAAAAAAAGATAAATGTATCTAAGAAAAAAGAAAAAGCAAAAAAAGAAAAAGAAAAAGAAAATAAATGTATCTAAAAGAAAAAAAAAGAAAAAAAAAGTAAAAAAAGAAGAAAAAAAAAGATAAATATATCTAAAAGAAAAAAAAAAAAGAAAAAAAAATTATCTAAACGAAAATAAAATAAATGTATCTAAAAATAAAAAATCTAAAAAAAAAAAGAAAAAGAAAAAAAGAAATAAAATGTATCTAAAAAAAAAAAGAAAAAAATTGTGAAAAAGAATATAAATGTATCTAAAGAAAATGAGAAAAAACAAAAAAAATTGTGAAGAAAAAATAAATGTATCTAAAAAAAAAGAGAAAAAAAAAAAAATTTTGAAGAAAAGAAGATAAATGTATCTAAAAGATAAAAAAAAAAAAAAAAAAAATTTTGAAAAAAAAGATAAAAAAGTATCTAAAGGGAAAAAAAGAAAAAAAAAAAAAAAAGATGAAAGAAAAAAGAAAAAAAAAAAATTTGAATCTAAGAAAAAAAATATATCTAAAAAAAAAAGAAAAAAAAAAGTGTAAGAAAGAAGATAAATGTATCTAAAGGAAAAACAAAAAAGAAAAAATTGTGAAAAAAAAAAAGATAAATCTAAAGAAAAAAAAAAAAAGAATTGTGAAAAGAAAAGAAGATAAATCTATCTAAAAGAAAAAAAGAAAAAAAGAAAAAAATTGTGAAAGGAAAAGAAGATAAATGTATCTAAAAAAAAAAAAAAAAAAAAAAAAAAATTTTGAAGAAAAAAAGATAAATGTATCTAAAGAAAAAAAAAAAAAAAAAATTGTGAAGAAAAAAGATAAATGTATCTATCTAAAAAAAAAAAAAAGAAAAAGAAAATATTTTGAAGAAAAAAAGATAAATGTATCTAAAGAAAAAAAAAAAAAATAAAAAATTGTGAAGAAAAGAAAGATAAATGTATCTAAAAAAAAAAAAAAAAAAAAAATTGTGAAGAAAAAAGATAAATGTATCTAAAAGAAAAAAGAAAAAAAAAAAAAAAAATTGGCAGAGAAAAGAAAGATAAATGTATCTAAAAAAGAAAAAAAAAAAAGAATTGTGAAAGAAAGAAGATAAATGTATCTAAAGAAAAAAGAAAAAAAAAAAATTGTGTGAAGAAAAGAAGATAAATGTATCTAAAGAAAAAGAAAAGCAAAAAAATTGTGAAGAAAAAGAATATAAATGTATCTAAAGAAAAAAAGAGAAAAGAAAAAACAGTATGAAGAAAAGAAGATAAATGTATCTAAAGAAAAAAGAAAAAAGCAAAAAAATTGTGAAAAAAGAAGATAAATGTATCTAAAGGAAAAAATAAAAAGAAAAAAGTTGTGAAGAAAGAAAATAAATATGTATCTAAAAGAAAAAAAAAAAAAGAAAAAAATTATGAAAAAAGAAGATAAATGTATCTAAAGAAAATAAAAAAGAAAAAAATTATGTAAAAAGAAAGAAGATAAATGTATTTAAGAAAAAAAAAAAAGAAAAATGTATTTAAAGGAAAAAGAAGATAAATTTAAAAAAGAAAAAGAAAAAAAAAAAAAGGATTTTGTATCTAAAGAAAATGAAAGAAAAAAAAAAAAAAAAATAAAATTGAAGAAAAAGAAGATAAATGTATCTAAAGAAAAAAGAAAAAAAATTGTAAGAAGAAAAGAAGAAAAATGTATCTAAAAAAAAAAAAAAAAAAAAAAAGGATTTTGAAAGAAAAATAAAATAAATGTATCTAAAGAAAATGTGAAAAAAAAAAAAAATTGTGAAAAAAAGAAAATAAATGTATCTAAAGGCAAAAGAAAAAGCAAAAAATTTATAAAAGAAGATAAACAATCTAAAGGAAAAAAAGAAAAAAGAATCAATTGAAGATCTAAAGAAATAAATGTCTCTAAAGAAAATCCATTCGGAAAAAAAAAAAAGAAAAGAAATTTTCAAGTATCTAAAGGACCAAAATTAAAGGAAAAAAAAAATAAAAAAGAAAAAGAAGATAAATTCATCTAAAGGAAAAAAAAGAAAAAGAAAAAAAGAATGATTCAAGAAAAGAAGATAAATCTATCTAAAGAAAAAAAAAAAAAAAAAAGTTTGCCTTTCGAAAAAGAAAATAAATTATCTAAAAGAAAAAAAAAAAAAAAAAAAGAATTGGATGAAAAATTTATAAATGTATCTAAAAGAAAAAAAAATAAAAAAAAAAATTGAATTTTGAAAGAAAGATAAATGTATCTAAAAAAAAAAAGAGAAAAAAAAAAAAATGAATTGTGAAGAAAAAGAAGAAAATATCTAAAAGAAAAACTCTAAAAAGAATTGTGAAGAAAAAAAAATTAAAAAAAATTGTGAAAAAAAAAGAAAAAGCAAAAAAAAAAATTGAAAGAAAAAAAATATAAAATGTATTAAAGAAAAAAAGACGCTGTAAAAAAAAATGGGTTGTGAAAAAAATAATCTAAAGAAAAAAAAAAAAAAGAAAAGAAGAAAAAAGATAAATGTATCTAAAAAAAGAAAAAAACAAAAAATTGTGAAGAAAAGAATTAAATATATCTAAAGAAAAAACCGAAAAAGAAAAAAAAAGAAGAAAGATAAATCATAGACTTCAACCTCGCAAAAAAAAAAATATTTGTGAAGAAAAGAATATAAATGTATCTAAAAAGGAAAAAGAAAAAAAAAAAAAAACATGAAATAAAAAGATAAATGTATCTAAAGAAAAAGAAAAGAAAAAAAAAAATTGTGAAGAAAAAGATAAATCTATCTAAAGAAAAAAGAAAAAAGGAAAAAATTTTGAAAAATTGAAAAAAGATAAATTGTATCTAAAGAAAAAATGAAAAATAAAAGAATTTTAAAAAAAGAAGATAAAAGTATCTAAAGAAAAAGAAAAAGAAAAAAACATTTGTGAAGAAAAAAAATGTATCTAAAAGAAAAAAAAAAAAAAAAAAATTTTAAAGAAATCAGAATTAAAAAGATAAAATATCTAAAACAATAAAACATGAAAAAGGAAAAAAAAAAAATTGAAGAAAGAAAGATAAATGTATCTAAAGAATCAAAGAAAAAGAAAAAAGATTTTGAAGAAAAAAGAAGAACAATGGATCTAAAAAAAAAGAAAAAAAGAAAAAAGGTGTGAAGAAATGATGAAATATAAATGTATCTAAAGATGGAAAATAGGTAAAAATAAAAACAATGAAGAAGAAAGAAGAAAGAAGTATCTATCAAGAAAAAATAAAAAACGAAAAAAAATTTGAAGAAAAGAAGATAAATGTATCTAAAAACAGAAAAGAAAATTATCAAAAAAGAGATTGATAGGTATGAACAGTGTTGTAAATGAATCTAAAGAAGAAAAATCAGTAAAATAATTTTGAAGAAAAAGATGAAGATAAAATATCAGAATCCTAAAAAAAAAAAGAAAAAAAGAATTGGCAAAGAAAAGAAGATAAGAATCTAAATGAAAAAAGAGGTAAAAAATAAAAAAAAGAATGAATAAAATGTGGAATCAAAGAAAAGGACTAAAAAGAAAACAGTGTGAAAAACAAATCTATACATTGTGAATAAAAAGATGAGCAATGTATAAAGAAAAAAAGAAAATGGAAATGAATTGTGAAGATAAGAAGATAAATGTATCTAAAAGAAAGACAAAAAAAGAATCTAGAGATTTAGAATACAGATAAATGTATCTAAAAAAATAAAAAAAAAAGAAAAGAATAGTGAAAGAAAGAAATAAATGTATCAAGAAAAGAAAAAGAAAAGAATTTTACTAAGAAAAGAAATGATAACACATCTAAAAGACAAAAGAAAAAGAAAAAAGATCTAAGAAAAAGAATATAAATATACTAAAGAATAAAGAAAAAGAAAAAAATTCTCCTGAATAGTGAATGATGACAGACTGACATACATGATCTAAAGAAAGATGAGCAAAAAGACAAACAGTGTGGATACAAAACAAGAAACATAAAATACTAAATGAGCAGATAGATAGGCATGAACAGTGTGAAAGATGAACAGACTGAGATAAGGATCTATATATAGATGAGCAGATATATAGGCATATATATATGTGTGTGTGTGTGTGTGTGATCTGAATGTGCGTGATAGATGTGTGTTTGGTGGAAAATATTTGACAGACATGATCACAAATTGAATAAAATGAAACAGGTGAGGAAAATGTACGATTTTAGCATATTTCATTTTCGAAAAATGAGAAATTCTCCATGCCTATGTACTTCTAAATAATGATACCAACATTTTAGGACTATTAATTAGTCGTTTATATTTTCCGCTTGGCAAAAACATATTTCTTGTGAAGTAGACAGTGAATTGTTAGAATTAAATTTTGAATTGAAGTGAATTGTGTTAATTAACTCCAAATGATATTTTTGTCATATTAAATTAATTAGATAATGAGTGTCCATTATTAAGCTGGCGGGCCGCAAAAATCTTTCGCCCCAGGACAGAATGTGGGATGGGGGGGGGAAAATTTGTTGACGACTCCTGCTTTCACATTTCCAGTTTTAAATCCGAATATATTTATTTATCACATATTTTATCCCATGGCACTGGCATATCTATAAAAAAGGTCAGATTTTTGTTTTGTATTATTTAATTACAATATCTAGTTCAGAAGGTTTCTTATGGTGGATCTGTAAAAAAAGCTTAGGTGAGGTATAAAGTTGAAAGGTATATTTTTAATGAGGATCGCATTTTATTCAGAAATATCATTGAACTAATGAAAAACAACAAACCATTGCACCACGTCGAGGTACCCCAAACGTTATTCCAAACATTATTTATATAATGAGATTGTCTGAGCGTAGTTTATATGTGGCATAACGTCGAAAGTATTTGTTGATGTCAGTGAGGAAACGAACTCACTAATCAGTCGTAAATGTTCTTACGAGACAATCTTATTTCATTATTCAACGTCGAGGTGCCCATATAGCTTTTCTGTCGACATGAATGGAAAATTCTAAAGAATAGGACCCCATGGCATTCGTTTATATTTCTCTTGGGAAAACATATTCATATCATTTTTTAGCATATGGCGAACAGAGATGTCTCCCCAATGGATATACCGACATGTCTCCCAATGGATATACAAACGATATGTCTCCCAATGGATATACTGTCCAATCTTATCATGTCGATTTTCTATTCTTTCGGTGTCAGACTCTAAGTGGTCAGATAGTCTCAACATATAGTTCACATAATCTGGATATATGGTTAGCATCATTCTTTTATATTTATTTATAATTCCTGGTCCCATAGATTTGAATCCTGTGAATGGGTTTGTTTTTGTTTTTTTGTCCTTTTTAGCAATGTATTATTATTATTATTATTAGTAGAATCTGGTAGTAGCTAGTTGTTGTTGTTGTTGTATGTTTTGTGTAATGAGATCGCACTCACTATTCAGTCTTTAGAACTAGTTATTGAACCGGAATGCAAAGTCCGAAGGTAGTGTTCTTTATAGTCCCAGTAAACAGAAATATTCTCAAAGTTAATTACAAAACAAGATTGTCCACTCTTGATTATTCATAACTGTTTATTTGGCACACCTTTGTTTTAAAGTACATGATCCACCCACCGTCTTGATCAAATATCTTGAAGGGGCATGAACAATTTTGTTTTATTCAACGTCAAAGATGCAATATATAGGTATTTTCTGTCGAAATATGAAAAGACTGACGGATTGATCAGAATCAAAAATGAGCAGATATTAGGAATGAACAGTGTGAAAGATGAACAGACTTCATTTATTTTTATCTGGAAAGAAAGATGATCCACAGATAATGATAGTTGTTGTTTTGAGATGCCGCATCATCATCATCATCAAGATCATCATCATTAATTTCCTGAAACAACCACTCTTAAATGAGGATTTTTCTAGCGAACAGTGTGAAAGATGAACAGAGTGACAACATGATCTGAATCAAAGATGAGTAGATAGATGGTTAGCAACAAGTGTGAAAGATGAACAGACATGGTAATTCCTGATCAGAATCAAATCGATTATTCAGATGAATGGGTATCTTGACTTTGTTAAATACGTGAATGTCTGATAATGATCTGATTCAAAGAAGTAGTAATGGAAACCGCTGACATTTTGATGTTGTCTGTCCAATGCTGAAAGACTACAGAAATTTGAATCAAAGATGATAGATTAGATAGGGTCTGAAAAGTCTTAAGATGAACAGACTGACATGATCAGAATAAAAATGAGTAGAAAATGAAAAAAAACAGTTTCGCATTAACAGACTGACATGACATGATCAGAATCAAAGATGAGCAGATGGATGAACAGTAAGAACAGTTAATGTGTGAATGATGAACAGACTGACATACAAAATCAGAAATCAAAGATTTTTCAGATATCTTTTTTTAAAACGTCTCAGAACAGTGTGAATGATGAACAGACTGACATACATGATCAGAATCAAAGATGAGCAGATAGTTCTAATCTAACAGTGTGAAAGATGAACAGACTGACATACATGATCAGAATTTCTCAGATGGTCAAAATGAACAGTGTGAAAGATGAACAGACTGACATACATGATCAGAATCAAAGATAAATAAAGATAGGTATGAACGTGTGAATGATGAACAGACTGACATACATGATCTTCCAAAGATGAGCAGGTTTATCGGGTATGAACAGTTTGAATGATGAACAGATTGACATACATGATCTGAATCAAAGATGAGCAGATAGATAGGTATGAACAGTGTTCTTGATGAACAGACTGAAGACATGATCAGAATCAAAGATGAGCATGATATTAATTTGAACAGTGTGAATGATGAACAGACTGACAACATGATCAGAATCAAAGATGAGCAGATATTTAGGTTCATGAAAGTGTGAAATGATGAACAGACTGAAACAATATGATCAGAATCAAAAACTGAGGTTGTAAATAGGTATGTGTCTGTTCGATTAACAGACTTGGATCGGATTGATCAGAATTCAAAGATTTCAACAGATAGATAAAAATGAACAGTGTGAATTATGAACACACGACATGGTTCAGAATCAAAGAAAAGCAGATAGATAGGCATGAACAGTTTTTGAATGATGAACAGAATTTGACAAATCAGAATCAAGATGAGCAGATAGATGGTATGAACAATGTGAATGATGAACAGACTGACATACATGATCAGAATCAAAATATCAGGTAGTTATCGATTATTATGAACAGTTGTGAAAGATGAACAGTGTTTGTGTGTGTTCATGATCATGAATCAAAGAAGAGCAGATAGATAGGCATTTCAGTGTGAAAAATGAACAGGTTTTAAGACATGTAGTGTTTCTGATTGTATTGAACATGAAAGATTATTTTACATGAAGAATGCTGAAAGATAGAATTCCATTTGACAAGACAATTCTTTATCAAAGATGATTCTATTCAATTGGTATGAACAGTGTGAAATGAACAGAATATTTTTGATCAGAATCAAAGATGAGCAGATAGATAGGTATGAACAGTGTGAAAGATGAAAAGACAAACGGACATGATGAAAACAAGATGATCAGATCAGATAGGTATAACAATGAATTTTGAACAGATTTTATTTTTCATTCTTTATGAGCAGATAGATAGGTTGAACAGTGTGAAAATATGAACAGACTGACATACATATCAGAATCAAAGATGAGCAGATAGATAATTAAATGAACAGTTTGAAAGATTGAACAGACTTTATTTCATGATTTTTTCTTACAACAAAGATGAGCAGATAGATATTAAACATTTGAAATCTGTAAAATGAACAGACTGACATACTGATCAGAATCAAAGATGAGCAGAACATATAGGTTTTTAAACAGTGTCAAAGATGAACAGACTGACAGACATGATCAGAATCAAAGATGAGCAGATAGATAGGGGGAACAGTGTGAAAGATGAGTTAGACTGACATAATGATCAGAATCAAAGATGAGCATATTTCCGTATGAACAGTGTGAATGATGAACAGACTGACATACATGATCAGAATCAAAGATGAACAGATAAATAATTAATCGACAGTGTGAAAAATGAACAGACTTGACATACATGATCAGAATCAAAGATGAGCCGATATTTAGGTATGAACATTGTGAATTCTGAACAGACTGACAGACATGATCAGAATCAAAGATGATTGATAGATAGGTATGAACAGTGTGAATGATGAACAGACTGACATAATGATCTTCCTTCTCAGATAGATTTCTCCTCATGAACAGTTCTTCTAGATGAACAGACTGACAGACATGATCAGAATCAAAGATGAGCAGATAGATAAAAAATGAACAGTGTGAATGATGAAACAGACTGACAGACATGATCATGAATCAAATTCTGAGCAGATAGATATGAAAACAGTGTGAATGATGAACAGACTGACATATACATTATCAGAATCAAAGATGAAGATAGATAGGTATGAACAGTGTGAAAAAAATGAACAGACTGACATGACATGATCAGAATCAAAGATGAGCAGATAGATAGAAATGAACAGTGTGAATGAAAATACAGACTGATTTACATGATCAGAATCAAAGATGAGCAGATAGATAGGTATGAACAGATGAGAGATAGATAGATGAACAGACTGATGAATACATGATCAGAATCAAAGATGAGCAGATAGATAGGTATGAACAGTGTGATAGATGAACAGACTGACAGAATAGATCAAGAATCAAAGATGAGCAGATAGATAGGTATGAAAGATGAGATGAACAGACAGACATGATCAGAATCAAAGATGAGATAGATAGATAGGTAAAACAGATGAATAGATGAACAGACTGACATACATGATCAGAATCAAAGATGAGCAGATAGATAGGTATGAACAGTGTGAAAGATGAACAGACTGACAGATATGATCAGAATCAAAGATGAGCAGATAGATAGGTATGAACAGTGTGAAAGATGAACAGACTGACATACATGATCAGAATCAAAGATGAGCAGATAGATAGGTATGAACATTGAAAAGAATGAACAGATGATAGATATGATCAGACTAAGATGAGCAGATAGATAGGTATGAACATGAATCATAACAGACAAATATCAGAATCAAAGATGAGCAGATAGATGAGGTATGAACAGTGTGAAAGATGAACAGACTGACATACATGATCAGAATCAAAGATGAGCAGATAGATAGGTATGAACAGTGTGAAAGATGAACAGACTGACATATATGATCAGAATCAAAGATGAGCAGATAGATAGGTATGAACAGTGTGAATGATGAACAGACTGACAGACATGATCAGATAGAAAGATGAGATTCATAATAGGTTGAACAGTGAAGATAGAACAGACTGACAGACATGATCAGAATTTGAGATGAGCAGATAGATAGATTGAACAGTGTGAATGATGAACAGACTGACATACATGATCAGATAGAAAGATGAGCAGATAGATAGGTATGAACAGTGTGAATGATGAACAGACTGACGGACATGATCAGAATCAAATATGAGCAGATAGATGGGTATGAACAGTGTGAAAGATGAACAGACTGACAGACATGATCAATCAAAGATGATAGATAGATAGGGAGATATGAACAGTGTGAAAGATGAACAGACTGACATACATGATCAGAATCAAAGATGAGCAGATAGATAGGTATGAACAGTGTGAAAGATGAACAGACTGACATACATGATCAGAATCAAAGATGAGCAGATAGATAGGTATGAACAGTGTGAAAGATGAACAGACTGACATATATGATCAGAATCAAAGATGAGCAGATAGATAGAAAAGATGAACAGTGTGAAAGATGAACAGACTGAGATACATGATCAGAATCAAAGATGAGCAGATAGATAGGTATGAACAGTGTGAAAAGATGAACAGACTGACATACATGATCAGAATCAAAGATGAGCAGATAGATATGATAGAACAGTGTGAAAGATGAACAACAGACTGACAGACATGATCAGAATCAAAGATGAGCAGATAGATAGGTATGAACAGTGTGAAAGATGAACAGACTGACATACATGATCAGAATCAAAGATGAGCAGATAGATAGGTAGGAACAGTGTGAAAGATGAACAGACTGACAGACATGATCAGAATCAAAGATATGAGCAGATAGATAGGTATGAACAGTGTGAAAGATGAACAGACTGACATACATGATCAGAATCAAAGATGAGCAGATAGATAGGCATGAACAGTGTGAAAGATGAACAGACTGACAGACATGATCAGAATCAAAGATGAGCAGATAGATAGGTATGAACAGTGTGAAAGATGAACAGACTGACATACATGATCAGAATCAAAGATGAGATAGATAGGTATGAACAGTGTGAAGATGAACAGACTGACATACATGATCAGATCAAAGATGAGCAGATAGATAGAAATAGTGTGAATGATAGACATACATGATCAGAATCAAAGATGATAGATAGATAGGCATGAACAGATGAAAGATGAACAGACTGACAGACATGATCAGAATCAAAGATGAGCAGATAGATAGGTATGAACAGTGTGAAATGAACATGAACAGACTGACAGATATGATCAGAATCAAAGATGAGCAGATAGATAGGTATGAACATATGAGCAGATAGATAAAAAGATGAACAGACTGACAGACATGATCAGAATCAAAGATGAGCAGATAGATAGGTATGAACAGTGTGAAAGATGAACAGACTGACGGACATGATCAGAATCAAAGATGAGCAGATAGATAGGTATGAACAGTGTGAAAGATGAACAGACTGACAGACATGATCAGAATCAAAGATGAGCAGATAGATAGGTATGAACAGTGTGAAAGATGAACAGACTACATACATGATCAGAATCAAAGATGAGCAGATAGATAGGATATGAACAGTGTGAAAGATGAACAGACTGACATACATGATCAGAATCAAAGATGAGCAGATAGATAGGTATGAACAGTGTGAAAGATGAACAGACTGACAGATAGATCAGAATCAAAAGATGAGCAGATAGATAGGTATGAACAGCAGATAGATGAACAGACTGACAGACATGATCAGAATCAAGATGAGCAGATGAGATAGATATGAACAGTATGAACAGAACAGATGAACAGACGGACAGACATGATCAGAATCAAAGATGAGCAGATAGATAGGTATGAACAGTGTGAATGATGAAAAAACTGACATACATGATCTGAATCAAAGATGAGCAGATAGATAGGTATGAACAGTGTGAAAGATGAACAGACTGACAGACATGATCAGAATCAAAGATGAGCAGATAGATAGGTATGAACAGTGTGAAAGATGAACAGACTGACAGACATGATCAGAATCAAAGATGAGCAGATAGATAGGTATGAACAGTGTGAATGATGAACAGACTGACATACATGATCAGAATCAAAGATGAGCAGATAGATAGGTATGAACAGTGTGAAAGATGAACAGACTGACATACATGATCAGAATCAAAGATGAGCAGATATATAGGTATGAACAGTGTGAAAGATGAACAGACTGACAGACATGATCAGAATCAAAGATGAGCAGATAGATAGGCATGAACAGTGTGAAAGATGAACAGACTGACAGACATGATCAGAATCAAAGATGAGCAGATAGATAGGCATGAACAGTGTGAAAGATGAACAGACTGACATACATGATCAGAATCAAAGATGAGCAGATAGATAGGCATGAACAGTGTGAAAGATGAACAGACTGACAGACATGATCAGAATCAAAGATGAGCAGATAGATAGGTATGAACAGTGTGAAAGATGAACAGACTGACAGACATGATCAGAATCAAAGATGAGCAGATAGATAGGCATGAACAGTGTGAAAGATGAACAGACTGACAGACATGATCAGAATCAAAGATGAGCAGATAGATAGGTATGAACAGTGTGAAAGATGAACAGACTGACAGACATGATCAGAATCAAAGATGAGCAGATAGATAGATAGGTATGAACAGTGTGAATGATGAACAGACTGACATACATGATCAGAATCAACAGATGAGCAGATAAAGATAGGATATGAACAGTGTGAAAGATGAACAGACTGACAGACATGATCAGAATCAAAGATGAGCAGATAGATAGGCATGAACAGTGTGAAAGATGAACAGATGAAACATGATGAACAGAAGATGAGCAGATAGATGATCAGAATCAACAGATGAGCAGATAGATAGATAGGCATGAACAGTGTGAAAGATGAACAGACTGACATACATGATCTGAATCAAAGAAGAGCAGATAGATAGGTATGAACAGTGTGAAAGATGAACAGACTGACAGACATGATCAGAATCAAAGATGAGCAGATAGATAGGTATGAACAGTGTGAAAGATGAACAGACTGACATACATGATCAGAATCAAAGATGAGCAGATAGATAGGTATGAACAGTGTGAAAGATGAACAGACTGACATACATGATCAGAATCAAAGATGAGCAGATAGATAGGTATGAACAGTGTGAATGATGAACAGACTGACATACATGATCAGAATCAAAGATGAGCAGATAGATAGGTATGAACAGTGTAAATGATGAACAGACTGACAGACATGATCAGAATCAAAGATGAGCAGATAGATAGGTATGAACAGTGTGAAAGATGAACAGACTGACATACATGATCAGAATCAAAGATGAGCAGATAGATAGGTATGAACAGTGTGAATGATGAACAGACTGACAGACATGATCAGAATCAAAGATGAGCAGATATATAGGTATGAACAGTGTGAAAGATGAACAGACTGACAGACATGATCAGAATCAAAGATGAGCAGATAGATAGGTATGAACAGTGTGAATGATGAACAGACTGACGGACATGATCAAGAATCAAAGATGAGCAGATAGATAGGTATGAACAGTGTGAAAGATGAACAGACTGACATACATGATCAGAATCAAAGATGAGCAGATAGATAGGTATGAACAGTGTAAATGATGAACAGACTGACAGACATGATCAGAATCAAAGATGAGCAGGTAGATAGGCATGAACAGTGTGAAATATGAACAGACTGACATACATGATCAGAATCAAAGATGAGCAGATAGATAGGTATGAACAGTGTGAAAGATGAACAGACTGACAGACATGATCAGAATCAAAGATGAGCAGATAGATAGGTATGAACAGTGTGAAAGATGAACAGACTGAGCAGACATGATCAGAATCAAAGATGAGCAGATATATAGGCATGAACAGTGTGAAGATGAACAGACTGACATACATGATCAGAATCAAAGATGAGCAGAGAATAGGTATGAACAGTGTGAAAGATGAACAGACTGACATACA